TAGCACCATTTTATCAATTCTTTATTTTTGCATTGACAGACATTGAAGGTAAGAGCATTTTTGGCTTACGCAGAAGCCCATCTTTTCAAGTATGCTTTAGACATGGTACAGAAAAAGACTGGGTTGTTAGTATACATAATATACATTTTAGACTTGTTGCATGTGGGTTGCGTAGAGGCTGTTGTCATTTAGCTTTCGCCTGTCAAAGGTTTTTTTTTTTTTTTTTTCGTTGTGTACACAAAGAAAAACATATATACAAGCAAAACGATCAAGTGAACGTAGGTGTTAAATCCTAAATCTGCACGAGTGAGTAGCGGTCTGTGATTGGGTGCTCATTTGTCCTATGATTCTTCCTCATATTGTTCCCAAAGGGCCCAGACCTTTTGAAATTTGGTGGTAGTGTTCCGAACGGTAGCTGTCATCTTGTCCATTAAGTAATTATCTCTGATTTTGGAAATTACTAATGAAAGTGGGGGTGTCTCTGGTTTTATCCAGTATTGTGCCAGTGCCCTACGAGCTGCTAGATTGAGCATATTCAGAAGTTTTTGGTCATGTTTGTCTAGTCCGTTTGTCGGTCGTGATAATAGACATGCCCAGGGGTCTAGTTTTATTTGTCGGTGTAGGATTTTAGTGTGCATGGCCACTATCTTTTCCCAAAACTCCTTTACTTTAATACACTGCCACCACATGTGGATGTATGTGCCTTTTTCTCCACATAGTCGCCAACAGGTATCGGTGGGACAGAGTTGCATGTGTTGTTGCTTGACTGGTGTTGTATACCACCGAAGCATTATTTTGTATGATTGCTCCTGTAAGGTTGTGCATATAGACACTTTCGTGTTCGCCTCCCATATGTCTTGCCACTCCGTTCCCTCCAGTGTTTCCCCCAAATCCGCTTCCCATTTGTCTGTGTATGTCTGCGGGCCCCACGTGCCTGATTCTAGGCATATGTGGTTGTAGAGCAGAGAGATTAGTTTCGCTGGCATGCTTTCTTTGAGGCATATTTGCTCAAAGAAAGTTAGAGGCTTGGCAATTGCCATTTTGACCTCATTGGTTTGCGCGAAGTCCCGTAATTGTATATATCGGAAGAAGTCGCGGGTTTGCAATGGGGCTAAGGTTTGTAAGTGTTGGTATGTCACTAGTTGGTTATCTACGTAGGTGGATATAGCGTTGTAGGTTCGTGGCTTCGATGCCTTTAAAGTCTCGTGCCCTTAGACCCGGTGGGAATGCTCTGTTACGTAGTACTGGGGTCATTGGGGACGGGAGGTGTGTGAGTTTGAATTTCTGCGCGATCTGGTCCCATAAGCTAATGGAGTTTAGGATGGCCGGGCAGTCTGTCCGTAAGATTGTTCTATGATGCTTCGGTGTCCATATGAGGAATTGCGGGAGGTCTGCTCCTGTCATGTGGGATTCTATGTCAACCCAACGGCGTTGATTTTTGGGGCAGTGCCATTGAGCTATTTGGGCAACTTGGGCTGCGGTATAGTAATGGTGAATGTGGGGCATACCCAGGCCGCCTCTCCCCTTGGGATTATACAGTATTTTTTTGGCTATTCTTGGCCGCTTTCTCTGCCAGATAAAGGCGTCTATTGCTTGTTGTAGGCCAGCTAGGTCACTCTTGGTCACTCGAGTCGGGAGCGCTTGGAATAGGAACAGCAGTCTTGGCAATAGGTTCATTTTTATGGAATGTAGGCGACCTAGCCATGTGATGGGTTTGTCTGTCCAAGTTTCTAAGTCCGTCTTGAGTTTTGTGATCAGTGGAGTGTAATTATGTTTAAATAGTGTGCTGTGATCTGCTGTGAGTTTGACGCCTAGATACGTAAGTGTGTCTGTGTTGGTTTTGATATGATAGGTGTGTCTGAGGTGTTGTACCTCCCGGTCAGGTATATGGAATGTCAGTGCCGTCGATTTGGTTAAGTTAACTTTGTATCCTGATACTTCACCGTATGTCTGCAGTAGCTTTTCTAAATTTGCCATCGATTGGGTTGGGTCTGTGAGTGTTAGGAGTATATCATCTGCATATGCAGCTACTTTGAAGTGTTCATCTCCCAAGTGCACTCCTTTTATGTTTGGGTTTGCTCGTATGAGGTGTAGGAGGGGCTCTAGCACTAGAGCAAAGAGGAGTGGTGATAGGGGGCAGCCCTGTCTTGTTCCATTGCTCACTTGGAATGGGGATTTTGGCACTCCTGAAATTATGGTTTGTGCTTGCAGGTTTGTGTATAGGGCCTTTATTGCCGTGATATAGGGTTCCGGGAATCCCTGAGTTTGAAGTACTGTGAACAGAAAAGGCCATTGTACCCTATCAAAGGCCTTTTCTGCGTCGAGGGAGAGGACAAGGGCAGGCTGTCTAGTGTGTGATATATGCCAGATCAGATCCACCCCTCTGCGTGTATTTTCATATAACTGGCGTCCTGGTATGAAGCCGACCTGATCTGGGTGTATTAATTTGGGTAACAGTGGGATTAGTCTAGATGCCAATATCTTTGCGAATATCTTTAAGTCGGTGTTGATGAGGGAGATGGGTCTGTAGTTTGTGGCAAGTGTGGTGTCCTTGTTGGGTTTGGGTAGTAAGATAATGTTGGCGGTGGCCATATCTCGGTCTGGAGTTCCCCCCTGAAGGAAATGGTTATATAGTTTGGTGAGGGGGGGTATCAGTTCTGTCGTAAATGTTTTATAATAGCCCATATCGTAACCGTCAGGTCCTGGTGCTTTGTTCCCTTTCAGGGCGGAGATCGAGGCTGCTACCTCCTCCGGTGTTTCTAGAGCGTTGGCCTCTCCTGTTGTCACCCTGGGTAGATTAGTGTGGGTTAGGAAGTCAGCTATGTGGGCAAGATGTTGAGTCTGGGCTTCTCCCTCCATTGGTGCAAGGTTATACAGTTGCTGGAAGTATTCTGTAAAAGCGTCATTGATTTCTTTCGGGGTGTTAACTAGTTTGTTGGCTTTGTTACGGAGCGTTGTAATGGGTTTATATCCCTGTCTCGGTCTGAGTGTACGCGCTAGCAGTGTGTCCATTTTATTGGCTTTTTCATAGAACTTGCGCCGTGACCATAGTATAGAACGTGTTATTTCTGCTGTCATGTGCTCCCTGATTGCGTGTCGTGTGCTTTGGAGTTTGTCGTATGTGGTGGGGGAGGGGTCTTGTTTATGTTGTTGTTCGAGTTTCCGCATAGTGGTTTGTAATTCTAGTAGGTGTTTTGTTCGTGTCCGTTTTTTATGAGTGGCTGCCTGTATGAGATGTCCCCTCAGTACGGTTTTGTGTGCCGCCCAGAGTGTTGTTGGGTTTACTTCTTCTGTGTCGTTGGTACTAAAATAGTCTGTGATTTTTTGTCGTGTAGTGGTGAGTATTGTTTCGTCGGTAAGTAGGGTTGTGTTGAGTCTCCATGTCCAGTCGTTGTGATGTTGGAGGTTCCCCAGCGTAACCGCTACATCAGCGTGGTCCGACCACGTGATGCTGTTTATTTCTGAGTGAATGAGTTTAGTCTTACCCGCTCCATTGAGGAGGATATTGTCTATCCTAGAGTATGTGTGGTGTGGCGCCGAGTAGTATGTGTAGTCTCTTGTGTCTGGGTGTTGGAGTCTCCAGGCATCCAGGAGTCCAGTGTGTTGGAGGAAGGAGTCCCCCCCTGCCTTGAGATCTTTGTGTCCCTGGTTTGGAGCTGCGGTCGATTGCTGGGCAGGGAACAGCGTTGAAGTCACCTCCCACTATTAAAATGCCCCCTTGCAGGGTGGCGAGTAGGGATGTTATGGTGTCCCAATAAGCCCTGTCTGGGTTGTTGGGTGCGTATAAGTTTACGGTATGTAGTTTAGTGTTATAGTGGGTGCCACTTATGGTTACGAATCTGCCTTCTGGGTCTATCTGTTTATGGGTCATTATAAATGGGCAGCGTTTGTGTAGGAGTATAGCTACTCCTGCTTGTTTGCGAGGTGCCCTGGCCTCGTGTGTTGTGGTGTAGAGACGGTCTCCTAGTTTGATTGGTGCGGCTTTAGGAATGTGCGTCTCCTGTATAAGCGCTATGTCGGCCCTTTTTGCTTTTAATTCTCGTAATAATAGTCTGCGTTTGGTAGGAGTGTTTAGTCCTTTCGCGTTCATTGATAAAAATTTTAACGTCATGGTTGGGTTTGTCTTATGGGATGCTCGTGTGTGTGGGGCAGAGGGTCCATACCTGTCAGGATTCTGTTGGTCCCCCCCCTTTCTGTCTCTGTTGTCCGGCGGTCTCTTTGGTGTATCAGGATTAACATTTCACTCGTGCATAGTGAACCGAAAACCATAAACATAAACAAAAATATAACATAATTATGAACCATATAACAAGGTTGATAAAAACATATGTAGTGATGTACTTTCAGTCTGGTCTTACAATTTGCCAGAATAGAATGGGGATAAGTCTCCCCCCCGCTGGCCAGAATTCTGTCCTATTCCGGGGTGGGAGGCTCACCAATCCACTGTGCCTCTGTGCGAGGCGTCAGATGCAGCCTGCCATCTGGTTGGGTGCCCAACGCTTCCTTTATATCTCGTGGGGGGGGGGGGCAGTATAGGTAGTTGGAGAAAATTTTTTTTTTTTTTAAGTGTCTTAGGTTAAGGGCAACCTCTGATTTTGCTCAGTTGCTGCGGAGCATAAGGGTGAAAGACCGCTAGACACTGTGATTGTGTGAGAGATATATACGCACTAGTGTCCAGTGGTCCTCATCTGAGCTGCGGCCCAGTACCCCGGGGGCACTCTATATTGCATGAAAACAGGCATTCAATGGCATTAGTGCAACTGTTATTCACAGGGTTTTTTCCGAGGCGTAATAGCTTATTGGATGCTTAACTTTCAAGGGCCCCACCAGCCAAAGCGGAGGAGATAGCCAACACCTCTGACTCCACAAGCCCCTCCAGTTTGGCTGCCACGGCCCCGAATCCCTGCCCCAGCGAGGGACCCCATGAGCATGCGCCATATCTAGCGTTACCATTCTAGAGTGTTTGATAGTATTTACATGTATAGATATGTTGTTATGTATATCTATCTTTTGTGTTTTGGGAAGGTGATAGTTGCCTGTTGGTTTCAGGCTGGGTTAGGTTGTGAGAGAGTCAAAGCATCCCCCCCTGTGAGGATAGACCCCGAATGGGTTACCTGACCAGGAAGCCAGTTTGGCAGATTATGTGATACGCATGGAAGTCTGTGGGTCCCTCTTGGGTCCTTAGTGTTGGCGGCCCGCTGAGTCTTTGGCGGTGGTCCATTCTGCGGGTAGAGTGTTGAGCTCGGGTACCGTCTCCTGGGTCAGGGCAAAGTCTGGTGGCGGTTCCACTTGGAGGCTCCTGAGGAATTTCTTAGGGTCCGCTCCTGGTAGCAGCGTGTATGTTGTTCCAGATTTGAAGGCCACCAATTTGAAGGGGTGTCCCCAAGTGTATTTGATTTCCTTCTCTTGTAGAAGCAGCGTCAGGGGTCTCCAGTTTCTTCTGCGTTGCAGAGTGGTAGGGGACAGATCCTGATATAAGTTGATAGCTGTGTCTTGGTATGTCAGATTTTTATTCCGTGCATATTTCATCACCGCTTCCTTCGTGGAATAGTAATGGAAACGGAGGATGATGTCCCTTGGGGTCTGTCCCTCCACCCTGCGCGCCCGGAGCGCTCTATGTGCGCGGTCGATTGCCCAGTGTTCGTCCGAAATATCTGGGATTAGTTGTTTGAAGTACTGCTTCATTTTGTTTACCAGGTCCCCCTCGTGAGGCGATTCGGGGAGTCCCCGGAGTCGTACATTATTGCGCCTGGAGCGGTTGGCGAGATCTTCTACCATCATTTCCAGGTCTGTTATTTGTTGTCTCATGGTCCTGGAATGTGTTACCACCGAGTTGTGAGCGCTGGTGATTTGCTCCATTTTATCCTCTAGGGCCGCCGTCCGTGCGCCCAGTGCTTGAATTTCTGCTTTAACCTCTTTGGTGCTGTTGGAAATTTCCTTGGCTAGAAAATTCCTGACTTCTGTCAGTTTTGTTAAAATATGTGGGGTATCTTCCGTTTGGAATTCGGGTATATCACTACCCGTTGTGGATGCTGGGGAGAGGGAGCCGTGAGGGCTGTGTCGGCGGCCATCTTGGGAGGCCTGTCTGCCTCGTGGTGTCGCTAACATGTCGGCCACTGACCTGGCGGTTTCCCTTCGATCCCCTTTTTTTTTGAAGGCTTGTTTTGCTCCGGAGTGTGAGCCTGGCATATTTCAGCTGCTGTGGCTGTCGTCTGGGTCTCGATGCTCGTGGCTGGTGCTGGATTGTGAGTGGATTGTGCGGAGCTCTGGAACTATGCGGCCATCTCGGTCGGCATCCAGACCACGCCCCCATTAGCACCATTTTAATAGCTAGTTCAGTGACATTAAGGGTTAATGCTGCACAAGTAGTATATATTAATATAAAATTATGTCTTTTGTTTATAATAATAGAATTCTTGGGGCCCCATTGTAGATCGACTCCTCCTCACCTCGTGTCCCCAGACACACAGATGCACACTCACAGACACAGATGCGCTCAGACAAGGATACTCACTGCCAGACACACATTCTTAGAGACATGTATACTGACAAATATAAACACAGCCACAGATACACAATGGGAGACACACAGTCACACTGCCTGACTCACACAAACTCACATTGCCAGATGAACACATTCACTCTACCTGGCATACACAATTTCAGGCCTCTCCCCTCCTGTGTGACTTTCGTTGAACGATGGGAGGTAGCGATTTGCCATCACATCCTTTCATTGCTGCTGCACACGAGTGAAGGGGAAGCTGTCAAATCACTCAAATAGGGGGCATAGTCGGACAGATCTCCAATGCAGTCCAGTCGAGGGAGATATTCCTGTCTCTCCAATCAGACCATATAGTATGACAGGACTCTATGTGGGCCCCATTTCTCAACCAGACCTGTCTACTGGCTGTACCCCCTGATGGTGGCACTCAGAGACCTGGTAATATGTGCTTTCCCAAAGACACTTGAGTTCTATTTGCAGTATTTAATTGTTAAATTATAGCAAAATAAATAGAGATTTGAATGGCACTAGCGCGATCACAAAAAGTAAGCCTGGAGGCCCCAGCAGTGATAGGGTTACAGAAACCAGACATTTATACAAGAAAAATGATGTGTTGCTTGTTTAGCATTTTGCTGTTGCCATGGCTACACACTCTCATCCAACGTAGGCTAGGAAGAGTAAACTATGTGACCACTATGTGCATCTTCCTCCGCACACTGGGCCCCCGTCTCTTCCTTGCCCACCTCTTGTTTGTGGCCTCCACTCCCCCTCCTTTGAGTGTGGGAGCCGGCACCTTGTGTTCCCTGACTGACAGTAGAATACTGCAAAGGAGGGGATGTGTGATCACGACACTGCAGATTAATACATGATCTTTATTCGCAGCGAGATGTGGATGCAGAAACATTGAACACTCAGATGTGCGCGGCATGTCCGGAGAAATCCAAAATAAAATCTGTAAGAATTGGTTTATTCACTAAACATTGAGATGTGGCAGACAGCCTAAAAATGTTTGCAATGCAGCTGATTTGACCTAAGTTTTACAAGTCGGTGATCAATTCTCCACAAGTTGCAATTTAGTAACTAGAACATTAGAACCAATTTCAGAAGCTTTTGATAGTTGATGGTCAGAGAAGGATTAAGATCTAACAGGGCCCTAGGTGGGTTGCCAGTTTAAGTCCTCCTTTTTTCACACGAGGGGAGAATAGAGTCTAGTAACATTATGGTTCTGTAGCCCCTGTCTAACTAACCCCTGGGCTCTAGGTGGCTGCCAATTGTCACCTTATCATTAGTTCTGCTCTGGTTCTGTCTTCTGTTTGGGTAATAAAAAAATCATGTAACAGATGTTTTCAGTGGTAACTCTAGACTTTGTGAGGCCTTGGGCGAAACTCAAACATGAGGCCCCCACTAACACCCAAAGTGAAAATAAATAGGTTTCGTTGTGTGTGTATAAGGTGCTGTAGTTATATTGAACAATGGGCTTGCAGCGCTGAATAAAAGGGGGCTGTGAAGTGGGTAGAGGGGCTGAGAGTGGGTTAGGAGGCTGTGAGGTGGGTACTTGCTGTGAGAAGCGAAATTACCTTTTGTAATTATTCCCTGGTGGTCCCATGGGCAGCTTTCCTCGGTGGTCCAGTGTGCTCCCTTTCCGGTCTGCAGCTCCGCCGGGAGTGAGCTGCAGACCAGGGCCAGATTAAGAGCACAGTGGGCCTGGTGCTGACAATTATGATGGGCCTAATTACAAAGTCTTATTGACCAAAAACACTAAAACAGTCCTACCTCCTAAGCGTCATGTAACTGATGGAGATGGTGCTGGAGGGAAACTCATAGGATGCAGCTATGAGAAAATACATACCATATGCTAATTTCATGATTTCATCTTTCAAGTAAACCCATACCCCCTAAAAGCAGTGTCCAGTAAAGCAGGAAGTCAATGGATGGGATAAAAGGGTGGGCCACTGACACAAATCACATAACAGGAACTTCCGAAAGGGACGAATATACACAAAAAGGGGGCTTGTCTGTGCACCCATGTCTCCCAGTCCCTTAGTGTCTGTGTCCCCATGTCACTAGAACACAGGGGGACATTCAGAGACATTGGGACACTGGGAGACATGGGGACACTGAGATACTAGGGAACACTGGGAGACCTGGGGACACCGAGACTCTTGGGGACACTGGGAGACATGGAGAAATGGGGACACTGGGTGACTTTGGGACACAAGGCGACACTAGGAGACATGGGGCACTGAGACACTGTGATACATAGGGGACACTGTGATAATTAGGGACTTGATAAAGACCTGGGTACAGGTCAAAACATTGCGTTGTCCAATAAACCTGCTTAAATCTATTACAGCGAGTGCATGAGATTTTTTTTTTTTTTATGCTAGGGGATATTGAGACAATTGGGGACACTGAGACAGTAAGGACACTGAGACACTAGGGACACTGAGAGACATCAGTGCCACTGAGAAACATGGGGCCACTGTGTCCCTAGTGTCTCAGGGTCCCCATGTTCCCCAGTGTCCATATGTCTCCCAATGTCTCAGCGTCCCAAAGTCTCTCACCGTCCCCATGTCTCGCAGGCTCGGAGCTGATGTCTGCACTCTCTGTGCAGAGCTGCTCCCCTGCGGATCAGTGAGTAGAAAGAGGCAAGGAGGGAGATGCTGTAACTTCTTATCCCTGCCTCTCTCCACACTGGCCAGCGCTGGTATTGCAGAATGATCTCTGTTTATACTGAGACAGACATTTGTATTGCCGGTATTACTGCAATATCGGCACCAGCTAGGCAGCCTTTAATATCTGAGAAATACTTCTGAGAAATACCTGGCAACCATAAGAAATACATGAGAAATACCTGGCAATCCAAAGAGTAGTATGTGTGAAAAAATGGGCCTATTCCATGGGCCTGGGCCTGGGCCTGGAGCTGCAGCTCCATCAGCCCCTATGTTAAACCGGCCCTGCTGCAGACCATGTGGTAAGTCTTGCGATCTACAGTCAGAGCGTTGCCGTGGTAACCCGCTGATACTGGGCTGTGCCGAAGGTTTATTGGCATATATATGTGTGCTGGGGATGACTCCTTTTTTTCTTTTAAGCATACGGTTATGTAGTTTGACTTCAGCATCTATTTCTTTGTCTTCTAACATTCTTTATCCTGTTTTCTCTTGTCTACATACCTAAAAAATATTGTCACACTGTCACATTGTCACACTGGTGTGTTTTTATGATCTTGCTTCTGCTGTTGGGGCAATGCAAGACTGTTTGTTATATGTGCACAACAAAAATAAAGAATGACAAAAAAGAAAATTTAGTCCATCATTCCAGGTACAAAGGTTTCTACCAGGTTCTGATGGTGCTGGACATAGATCCTTTAAACTCGGCTTATTTTTACCACTAGAGAATGACCAGAATCAGAAATATCAAATAACTGAAAGAGTGGAGTGGTAAAGCTACAGTCCAATGGGCAGGTTACGTTATTGAATTCTTTATTTATTAGTCACATTTAGAGGTGTGCTGGCTCCAGGTTTTTAATGAAAGCCCTGGAAAAGTGCAAGACTGCATAAAATAACAGTATATTAGTGGTGGGTTGGTATAATCCACAAGGAGATATCATAACCCCTTCCACATTTTTAGTTTCTGTGCTTGCAGAGAACAGTAATATTCAAAAGTCATTTTCAGAGTGACTTTTTCTTACAGTGTTCCATTTTTCATAGGATAATATTATCGGGAGGAATCCCACCCCTCCTCCCCCACCCTCCTCAAATCCCCATGTGTACCTGCCATAGATTAGGCCAGCAGAAATAATTTCCCCACACCTTCCCAGTTTCATGTGGAATTGATATCAAATGCATGGCCAACCCAGTCCCAGTCCACCCACTCCATTTCGTGACTCTGTGAGGAGTTTGTTATTCTATGTGACATTTCCTCATATAGCCTAGTTGAATTTAAATAGAATATCACCATGGAATCCTTAGGGAGTGCCAATTGCTTCCAGTTTCTATGAAATTGTCTTTGCCCAACGGGAAATTGATTACCTACATAAAGATAAAAACATACTAAATACACAGACAGCAGGGGTAGTGGAGCCTGAGGACTCTGTGAATTATGCTTGGGTGTCACTAGCCCTGTCAAATAGATGTCACGCAGCTACTGGAAACTTGCCCAACTTGATCTCCCAGAATAATTACCTTACATGCCGCAGGTGGAGGCTGAGTTGGGAGAGTCCATCGCTTTGGACTGCTGGAGGGACACTCTCTCAAATCACAGGAGCTTCTCAATATCAATCACTGGAAACTCACTGCAAATTACTTATGTGATGGGACATGGTGTCCCAACAATTAGCTCATATTTTTCCCGGGTCCTCTCCAAACTGTTAGCTGTGTCAAAAGGAAAATGTCAGCCTGTTACATATCTTTTGGTCCTTTAAAGATATTTTGGCAGTGGATTCAATCTCTCATTGGTATCAGGAATATTACTGTTGGATATATTTCCAAAATCCCTATATGATCCACAGAGAACTTTGGTCATGCATATATTGGTGGTAGCCAAATCGAGCATCTCTAGAAACCTAGAAAAAAAGTGACTTGTTCTACAGGTCAGAACCAGTGTAATATTACAAGAACAGTCATCCCTGAAAATCTCTGGTAGCATGGAAAACTTCACTGGGATAGGCATGCATGGTTTTAGATATAAAACAAAATGATCCTTCCAAAGCAGAAAACGTTTGTTCTGAGAAACAAAAGGCTAACGTAACAACTGGATCAAGGTCCTATCAGATTCCTCTAACCGTCAGCCACAATTTAGTGAATCTCT